GGTTCACTCCCCAAAAGGCCACTGTGCCGATCTGAAGCCAGGAGCCAGGTGCTTCCCCTGGTCTCCCATGCGGGTGCAGGGCCCAAGCACTTGGGCCATCTTCCACTGCACTCCCTGGCCACAGCAGAGAGCTGGACTGGAAGAGGAGTAACTGGGACAGATCCCGGCGCCCCGACCGGGACTAGAACCCAGGGTGCCGGCGTCACAGGCAGAGGATTAGCCTAGTGAGCCACGGCGCCAGCTTATTATTATTCTTTAATGTGACATTTTCAAAATGTGCATCATTTACAGCTCAGACTAGTTTAGAAAAATGGGATCAATGACTTCCTAAGGACAGAGAAGGCAAATAAAGCTGAAACATTCAAACTGTCATTAAGTATTCTTTTTTTTTTTTTTTTTAAGATTTAATTATTTCGAAGGTCATAGTTAGAGAAAGGGAGAGAGACAGAGAGAAAGAGATCTTCCATCTGCTGGTTCACTCCCAGGATGGCCCCAGTGGCCAGCGTCAGACCAGGCTGAAGCTATGTGGGTGGCAGAGGCCCAAACACTTGGGCCATCCTCAGCTATTTTTACTAGGCCACTAGCAGGCAGCTGGATTGGAATTGGAGCAGCTGGGACATGGCTCCCATATGGGGTGTGGGCATCATAGGTGGTGGCTTTACCAGCTGTGCCACAGTACTGGCCCCTGTTGCAGGGTCTGAGTTCACCCGTACAAGGATGGACTGGGTCCGGGAAAGGTAAGTGCGCCGCTCGCCCCGTTCCCCAGCCTCCTGTTCCCCAGCCTCCTGTTCCCCAGCCTCCTGATCTGGGAGACAATCAGCCGCAGCGGGGAGTCAAGTCTAGCAAGAACTCGTTTATTTTGCCCGTAACAGAGCCTTTTATAGCACAAAACTGCAGAGTCATTGGGGCAGGGCATAAAGACCAACCAGTCACTTAAAGGGTCATTTTACCGGGCGATTTTCATAGGACTAGCCATATGTCTATACACTTGATATCAGTTGTTGCCACTTCCCCTGATGTTGCATAGCCAATTAGTTTTAGTGGTAAACAACTTTGGATTCCGCCCACCTTACTTCCTCTTGGCACCATCTTTGAATTGCTTCGTGTAACTAATTTCCCCACACCCTGTCATAGGAATTTTTGCAAGAACCATTGGTGTAGGTCTTAAATTGCTATTAGAAACTATAGGTAAAATTTTCTGAAGTTGTATAGTGATACTCATTAATTAACATGGTGTTTTTAAAATGCAATTGGTCACACATGTTCTACAGTCTATTCTTTGTAGCAAGTTGGTCTCCATGGCTACAGACTTTCAGAATCACTAGTTCACTTTTAGTCAGAAGATAGATCTTCCTGTGTCATTTTGCCTATTAGAGTAATTTAGATAGTACACTATTATGGGCTATCGAAAGTGAATAGGGCCAGTGCCCTGGCTCACTTGGTTAATCCTCCACCTGCCATGCTGGCATCCCATATGGATGCCGGTTCTAGTCCGGTTGCTCCTCTTCCAGTCCAGCTCTCTGCTGTGGCCAGGGAAGGCAGTGGAGGAGGCCCAAGTGCTTGGGTCCTGCACCCGCATGGGAGACCAGGAGGAAGCACCTGGCTCCTGGCTTCAGATTGGTGGAGCACCGGCCGTGGCGGCCATTTGAGGGGTGAACCAACGGAAGGAGGACCTTTATCTCTGTCTCTCTCACTGTCTATAATGCTACCTGTCAAATACATAACAAAAAGAAAAGAAAAGAAAAGAGAAGAAAAGAAAATAACAGAACTTTAAATGATTGCTTCAAGGTTACTACACTATGGAATTCAAGGGAGATGTTTTTCCTACAAAAATACTATTGTAAGTAAAATTTAAATTTATGTTTTTACGGATAGTAGGTGTTACTTTTGTAACCATTTTGAACTGTATACACTACTGAATTTTGGCAAAGCTGTGACCTTTTGTTGACTAACTGCATGTTCTGAGTTACAGTAAACCAGAAACCATGTATGAAGTCATAATATATTTATTCTGGCATATGGGATGCAAAGAAGATTAAGTTTGGGAAATCCAGTCCCTAAAGCCTATTGGACCAACAGCAGCTCCTCCTGTGACATGGTGTCATTTGCAAGCACCATGGTTTCAGGGGACTGGACAGGGACCATGTGTACAATTTTCATAAACGACAGGAGCTTGGTTTACCATTCTGAGCTTCTGATTTTGTGGCCTTTTCCCTTTTGCAAGACATGCCGGGGGAGCATTTCAGGTTAGGCAATCACCCAACAAAGGCTGATTAAGCTCAAGAAGGAGGAAGTTACCAACGCAAAAGTGGCACCCAGGGGGCCAGTTGATGCTCACCAATTGCCAGAAATCTGGGGTGCTAGATAAGCATGCAGAATTTTATATTTTATTTCCAGCCACAGGTCAGCATCAAAGATATGGCCACAGAAATGCATTGTGTCGCCTCGTTTGTTATCTACAGTCCAGGAAAGAAGGAGTTGTGGGCCTGTGCTCAGAGATTAGTGCAAAGGGAGGAGAATAAGATAATGCTGCCTTCACCCGTGGTCCCCATTGGGCCCCTGGCAGCTGTGCCAGCAGCTGGAGTTGTTGTTCTTCAACTTCTCTTCCAAGGATGCCTGTGTAGTCACTGGGCAGAGGGTTATGTTACGAGTCATTACATAAACCAGAACTTTATTGGGACCTTGCTATGTCATGCAACTCTTACCACAATGCCTTTAGGGCACCAGAGACAGTGTGCCTTGTCATTGGGAGAATTGGGGTGGAGTGGTATACTTTTGTCATGCTTGTACGCCTTGCCTTTTTATAGAATGCAAATGAGATGGCTGGATGTGAGTGTCTGGATATTATCCTAGTGTCACTACCAGGTTGCATGGACATGGTGTTCTCAAAAACATGTGGAAATGGCTTGATTTTTTATTTCTAGGGGTTTCTTTGTGTCCTTTCTAACTCCACCAGTTTATTTGGATCACAATCTAGCTTTATTGTTCCTTTGCTTTCAGACACTTCTCTCGTAAGTTTAAATATATTTGAATTGCAAATGCCAGGGAGATCTTTTTTTGTTTTGCCTGTTAAAATTGTGGTGTGTGTGTGTGGTGTGTTGGAGAGCAATTTTTCTTGCGGTGGTCTATACTTTGTGAGCTCATGTCCCAGTGGGGATTGTTATTTTGTTAAGAGTCCAGGGTGCTGGGTTGTGAGACATGTTTCCGTAGAGCCTGGCAGGTGCCTGAATACTATCTCAGGGTCATGGCCATTTTTGTGTTCATTGCTCCCCTTCAGAAGATTCCAGCACATAGAAGATAGTGTTAACTTCCTCTCACACACAGGACAGACTTAACATTTTCCGCAGGTCTCTGTAAAAGAGGTTTCTGCCCTGGGCTTCTTCGTCAGTGGGTGGCATTTCCCAGCCTTCTTTGCCTTTGCTCTCCGATTCCGACGGAGTTCTTAGTTTTGTCTTCTTTGCAGAAAAATCACTTTCCTTGCACCCACCTGACATTCCAGAAGGGTCTTTGGAACTGTCAGGTGGAGGAGAGTAGGGAACAGAAGCCGTCGGAATCTCCTGGCAATATTCTGATCTGAATTGATCAGTGTTAACGCAAGCCCTCGCGGTAACTTTTTTTTTTTTTTTTTAACAAAGCGTTAGCTCCCTGGAAAACGGATCTAGAGGGACAAAGCTTACAGAGTGTTGTCTGAGGAGTGATTGTTGCCATGGTAACTTGGGAGTGGCTTTATTTAAAGTCTGGGTGGAGCCAGCCCCGGCTTTGCTCACATTGATTGGAGAGAAGGAGAATGAAGGAAGTAGGTGAGGTGCAGAGCAGGCTGTGAACTTGGGTCTTCCGCTGGCGATTGCACAGGTGCCCAGAGCAGATGGGGCCCTGGGCAGAGGCTTCAGTGGGTGGGAGGAGTGGCAACAGCATCTATTTCTTTCTGTGCCAGTGGGAGAAGGCCCTTATTTCCTGCTTTTCTGTATTTATCCTCGGAATGAGAAATGATAACATTCAGGATCTGCGCCCTAGTGTAAACAAGGGAGAAAGGGAGCTGACACGATCCAGGGGAAGTTAGGTGCTATCTCCAGTGTTTTTATTCTCGGAACATTCAATGTTTGATATTGAGCACGTGCTTAATATATCTAATATGCTATCCAGGAGTGTGTGTGTGTGTGTGTGAGAGAGAGAGAGAGAGAGAGAGCACACTCCTGGTTCTATTATACTTGGGGGTTAGTCATTAGTACACAAGAAAGGAAACTTCATTCAACCAAAAAATAATTGTGATGTCCCTACCATTTCCAGGTACTTGTCTTTTTTTTTCTTTAGTAAACTTATCATGGCCAGCACTGTGGCGCAGTAGGTTAAAGCCCTGTCCTGCAATGCTGACATCCCATATGGACGCAGATTCAAGTACCGGCTGCTCCACTTCTGATCCAATTCCCTACTAATGTGCCTGGGAAAGCAGCAGAAGATGGCTCAAATGCTTTGACCCCTGCACCCACATGGGAGACCTGGAAGAAATTCCTGGCTCTTGGCTTAGGCCTAGCCCAATCCTGGTTGTTGCAGCCAATTGGGGAGTGAACCAGCAGATGGAAAACCTCTCTCTCCATCTCTACCTCTCTCTCTATAATTCTGCCTTTCAAATAAACAAATCTTTAAACAAAAAAATAAACTTTTAATTCTATTTTCTACCAACTTTAATAAACATTTTTATTATTTATCAGAAAGAGAGAGAGTGTGCACATGCTAGCTGTTGTCTACTGAAATACACTTCAAACGCTTGCAATGACCTCTGCTGGGCCAGGCTGAAGCCAGGAGCAAGAACTCAATCTGGGTCTCCAATGTGGGTGGCAGGAATCCAAGTACCCGAACCATCACTGCTGCTTCCTGGAGTGTGCATTAGCAGGAGGCTGGAATTGAGAGTGGAGGGGGATTTGAACCCAGGCATTCTCTGATGTAAGACATGGGGCTCCCAAATTTATTTATTTATTTATTTATTTATTTATTTTTGATGACAGGGCCTGACGCCTGTCCCTCCAGGCATTTTTCCAGGAACCAAAGATTCAGCAGTGAATGCAGCTGCTACTTTCCCAGTCTCATGGAACTCATATTCTGGAACAGAGAGGCAGATAACAAAGTAAATTAGTAAAATGTATACAGCACGTTAGATGGAGGCAAGTAGGAGTGGGGTGGTGTTTGGCACAGCAGTTAAGTTGAGGCTTGGGGTGCCTACATCCCCTGTTGCAGTGGCTGCTCTGAGTGCTGGCTCTGTTCCCATCCAGCTTCCTGCAAGCTCTCACTCACTGGGAAACAGCAGATGATAACCCGAGTAGTTGGATCCCTGCCACCAACATGGGAGACTAGGATTGAGTTCCAGCTCCTGGCTTTGGCCTAGCATTTAGATGGTGAACCAACAGATAGGCAATCCCTTTTTCTCTTTCTGCCTTTCAAGTAAATATTTTAAAAAATGATTTTATAAAGCAAGAAATAGAGGCATGGAATGTTGGTTGGGAAGGCTTCATGGAGAGGGAGGAAGTGAAGGGACCGAGCTGGGTGGAAGACAGAGCAAGGATCACTGGGTGGTAGAGGCGGCTGTTTGGCTGATCGTGTGAGCTAGGGGTGGGAAGTGAAGGAGAGGCAGGCAGATGCTAAAGGGCTGTGCATGCTCCTTGGTAAGGCAGAAAAAGCCCAATGCTCAATCCCTCATGGAGCTGAGAGCTCTGGGCAGAAGCTCTAGCATTTGGGAGAATGGGTTCTCTGGATTAAAGCGTGGAGAGGGTTCATGTATGGGTGTTGGGGAGGGTATATTTTGTTCCCAGGGTCAGCTCTAGGGGAGTAGAACCCACAGAGCCCTGCTCCTTCTGGCTCAGCCTGTTCTACAACTGGGCTGAATTCTCTCAGCAGCTGGTGCTCAGCTGCAATGTTTTCAAAATCATCCAATAAACTTTGCCTTGCCTGCTTTGGCTTCTTCGAATGCTTGGACACAAACTTCCTTTAAGAATCGGAAATGACTTAATTTGATTCTTTGCACACAGAAAGTCCTTTTTGCACGCCTTTTTGAACCTGCATGTTTGGTACTTCGGGGAGACACAAAGAGGTGTGAGATGACAGAATTTCAGACATGGTTGCTGGCCATGTGGTAAATTACTTTTGGGAAAGAACTTACTGGAAAGTTTGAAAGCACAGTTTGAAAGACATGTGCAAAAGGCGATTGCATTCAGGTGTGATCACCAGTGCCCTGTCTCAGACAGTGCCATCTGCAGACCACTGCATGGGAGCCTGCGGTGTGAAGACCCTGGGTTCCTGGCTGTTTGCTGAGCTATGTTAGGGAATTTCTTCTTTTTAAAAAAAGTTTATTTATTGACTTTTGATTTACTTGAAAAGCTGAGTGACACAGAGAGTAAGAGCATCTTCCATATGCTAATTTACCCTCCAAATGGCCAGAACAGCCAAGGCTGGGCCAGGTTGAAGCCAACAACAGAGAACTCCACCTGGGTCTCCCATGTGGGTGGCAGGGAATCAAGCCCTTGAGCTTGTCATCTGCTGCCTCCCTGGGTGCATTGTCAGAAAGCTGGATCAGAAGCGGAGGGGCTGGGATTTGAACCAGCACTCCAAGATGGGATGTGTCCATCCCAAGCACTGGCTTAACTCACTCTTCCACAACTCTTGCCCTAGGAGAGTTTCTTAATCTTCCTGTCGCTTAGTTAAACTAGGGAGGAAAGAGCTACCGCACAGGTGTGTGTTGGAAGAACAAATGAGTTGTCATCTGTAAGGTAGTAAGAACCGTGCCCATACACAATGAGCACTGCAAATGTCCCACAGGATCCCCCGCATCAAAATAGTTCCCCCCTCCTTTTTTTGGGGGGGACATCCATTTATTTTTTATAGAGAGCTTTTATTCAATAAATATAAATTTCATAATTTATAATCCAAATTTTGGATTATAGGGTTCTTCCATACCCGCCCTCCCACCCCCAAACCATCCCACCTCCTACTCCCTCTCCCATCCCACTCTTCATTAAGATTCATTTTTAATTATCTTTATATACAGAAGATCAACTCTATACTAAGTAAATATTTCAACAGTTTGCACCCACACAGACACACAAAAGTATAAAGTACTTAGCCATTTTTTCTTTAGGCACCCTGTCTTCATTGACAGTTGATGCTTGCATGAGCAAATACAAATCCTTGCCCTGTTAAGAAGAGTCTGGAAATTTCCAAGAGAAAAATACTTGGAGAGATTCTGTAAGCCCTGAAGGGGACCAAAAGTTACTAAATCTTCCAATTGTTTAGAACTACAGAAGGTTCTGCATAACCGAGATTCTAGAATTAAAACTTTACAGATGGTACTTCATAACATTTCAATCTCTCTTCCTTTGTGGTGAGTCTCTTAATTTTTAATTTATGTAAAGTGACTTCTGTACTTTCCAATCATTTGTAGGTTGGAATTTTTATCTCTACATTGTCTGTGTCTGTATAGAATTTTTAAAGTCTTTCTGGGGCCGGCGCTGTGGCATAGTGGGTAAAGCCTCTGCCTGCAGTGCCGGCATCCCATATGGGCACTGTTTCGAGTCCTGGCTGCTCTACTTCTGATCCAGCTCTCTGCTGTGGCTTGGGAATGCAGTGGAAGATGCCAAATCCTTGGGCCCCTGCACCCATGTGGGAGACCCTGAAGAAGCTCCTGATGCCCAGCTTCGGATTGACACAGTTCCAGTGGTTGCGGCCATTTGGAGAGTGAACCAGCAGATGGAAGATCTCTCTCTCTCTCTTTCTCTTCTCCTCTTCCTCTCTGTAACCCTGCCTTTCAGATAAATAAATAAATTTTTAAAAAAGATTTATTTATTTATCTGAAAGGCAGAGTTAGAGAGAGGCAGAGAGAAAGAAAAAGGCCTTCCATCCGAAGGTTCACTCCCCAGGTGGCCGCAAAGGCTGGAGTTGTGCCGATCTGAAGTCAGGAACCAGGAGCTTCTTCTGGGTCTCCCACATAGATGCAGGGTCCCAAGGACTGGGGCCTTCTTATACTGCTATCCCAGGCCGTAGCTGAGAGCTGGATTGGAAGTGAAGCAGACGGGACGCGAACCTGCTCCCATATGGGAAGCTGGCACTATAGGCGGCGGCTTTACCTGCTGCATCACAATGCTGGCCCCCTCAAAAAAAGTCTTTCTAAGGTCTCTGAGTCTGAGGAAGCCAAAAAGTTTGATGTGTTCAAAAGCTCTGGTGCTGCTGTGGGCTTGTCCATTTGCACTGCACATCTGTAATCTGAGAATTAGCTGTTTGCGTAGGATCTTGCTGACTCATAGCACACCCCATTCATGCTTGAGGCTGTAAAAATAAAAAGTCTTTTTGTAGTGGTACAACTGGTATCATGTAAAGTTTGGCCCTGATTTTGCATAAAGGAACACATGAGCAAGAGAGGACAAAAACACAAGATGTGCTTGGGAAAAATTGCGAAAATTTTAGTCTACCTTGAGAAGTATATGTGTTTCAAAATAATATACTCTGAGGAGCAACCAAGGATGGCCAAGGCATTTTGCAGAGTCTCTGAGGGATATTGTAGGCGGAAGAGGAAACCCAGGCCCATTCAGCTCATTCAGAACAATTCTTGGGTATGTGCTTCACACGGGGTAAACATTTCAACAAGTTAGAGACAGAACATTTGAAAGGCACTGGTATAAAAACCCATCATCACTACCCTACTGTGTCTGTCACCAAATGTAGCAGTCAGCATGACCCCTGGCCCGCAGGCACTCAATCAATAGCCATTGAGGGAATGAGGGAACATAAAAAAACACTGTGTTCAATTTGACTGCAGTGTAGACTATGAGCATGGGAGAAGCGGGAACCAGAACTCCAAAGGGGGCTGCTGAGCCCCAGACACAAGAAGATCTAGCTCCTGCTGTAAGAGGTTTGATCTGCCCCAGGCACTACTTATTATAATAATTTCAGGATCAAGAGAATATTAGTGGGGCTGGCTCTGTGGCATAGCAGGTAAAGCTGCCGCCTGCAATGCCGGCATCCCATATGGGTATATGGTTCGAGTCCGGCTGCTCCACTTCCGATCCAGCTCTCTGCTATGGCCTGGGAAAGCAGTGGAGGATGGCTCAAATCCTTGGGCCCGAGCACCCGTGTGGGAGACCTGAAGAAGCTCTTGGCTCCTGGTTTTGGATCGGCACAGCTCCGGCTGTTGCGGCCATCTGGGGTGTGAACCAGCGGATGGAAGACCTATATCTCTCTCTCTGCCTCTCCTCTGTGTAACTCTTTCAAATAAATAAATCTTAGAAAAAAAAAAAAGAATATTAGACTGCAGTAACAAACTGCAGTCTAACTATGTCAACAAACCGAAGCCTAACTTAGGAGTATGCTTTTTGTACCAAATATCCAGGCGTTAGCCAATCACAAACCCTTACCGTCAGCCAATCACAGGCAGCCAACTCATCACACGGCGCCGCAGGAAGTCAGAGGCCTCACTGTAGCCAATCAGATGATTTCTCTGCTTCGCTTCTGTGCTTGGCCTTTAAAAGTTTGCTGCTCTCTCTACAGGTGGTGCTGTCAGAACCTCTTCTAGTGCTAGGTACTGTGTGGTTTATGAATTGTTCTTTGTTTCCCCACACCTGTTAAGTTTAATTTGGCTATTTGTTTTAACATATTGATTTTTTTTGAAAGGAGACTTATATGATTGATACTGGCTTTTAAGCAAGAAAAATAATTGGTTCCTTTGTTTTGGATAGGGAGGAAAGGTAGCGTGGAAGACTGGAATTGTAGGTGAGACCATGGTGATAAATTGGGTTGTGCCCTCGGGAATGACAGGAGGAGGCAGAGACGGAATTGACAATGAATTTAACCTAAGATGAGGAAAATGTATTTACTCCACAATTTTTATCCTGTAAGGGTTCTAACGGCTGGAAGAAGACGAGTAAGTGTGGCATGGCTATGTTGGGTCTGTTCTCACGGGACACACACAAGAGAAGAACTTGGGTTTAATATGAGCTTTCTGAGAGTTCGCTTTCTTTCACTCAAAGAAGCTCAGATGCGGAAGCTCAGGCCTCACAAGTTACCCGGATTCTGGTAGATGGAATTCTGAGTGTGTGTGGGTTTGTTTTTTTTTTTTT